CAAGTGAGTATCATGTATGCTATTGGTTGAACTTTACTTGCTTGTTAAACTAACATTTAATAAAGCTTTTAGAACTTTGAAGTAACTTGGGTGTGTCTGCCTCCCGTGTTTAACGTGGTTTTTCCCCTGACATTGATTAACTAATGGATTATGTGCCATCAAGTCGTTTTTTATTCCTAGTGACCACCAGATAGATTTTCTCCATGACGATCTATCCCTAACCTGTTCTTTCAAGTCTCCCAATGTCAGGTTCAGCACAAGAACAACAGCAAGGCAGTCCAGAACAGTTAAGCTCCTTTATTAGCTTACACCTAATAGACAGAATCTCGCCAACTAAATCTATAGCACAACAGTTACTATAACCATGAGGCCCTAGGGTGGTGCCAGTCTCATTCTCTTGGCTTTCCCACACTCTGGCTGGGGACTGAGGAGGTGCTTCGCCTGGAATGTCTCTCCCCCCTCCTGGCAACCTTGAAGCTCCATTCCAGAACCTTCTCCACTCATGCCTTCCATCACACCCAACAGTGCACTCATTGCCACTGTAACTGAGCCCATCCACCTTGCTGCTAATTGTCTTCTTTCCTTCCACCTTTCCCAGCATTAGAGCCTTTTCCAGAGAGCTGGGTCTTCGCATATTCTGTCCAAAATAGGATAATTTGAGCCTGATCATTTGTGCCTCATTATATTTTCAATTTGTTCATTAACTACTGAGTTACAGAAAGTTTAAAGAAGTTGTTGTAGCCTGTGCAGTTCAGCACTGGATCCTAAATATTGTGCACCTAATTATATAAATCTAAGGAAACTGCATTAATTTGGATTCCAGCATGTAGGGGAAGGTTGGGCTCAATGGCTTCGGTGGAGACTTCTGATTCTATCAGTGTCTATATATTCTTGGCTTTTACCAAGTTGGGGAAGGCTAGTCTAATTGTAATTTAGATGTCATTGGATCAGATTATACAGGAGACGGTGCTTAATTCTCCAGAAAGTATAATCACATTGGGGAAATATGCAGGATTTGGAAAGAGGAGAATGTTATCCTTTCCTGGCACTTCCCACTTTCATTTCAGCTAGGCTTTCACTGCTGTTTCCATCCTCTGAAAACAAAGCAGTCTCTTTGGTGTTACTGTCTATAATTCCTGCCTTAGATATTCCTTCCAGCTTTGTGCAGATTTATGGGCAGCACCCATTTTTGGGGTTGGTGGCAGTGCATCTACTGATTCTATTGCTAAACAAGTACAGTTGCTGGAGAGGGAGATAGGTGCTTCAGCCTCCATTAGTGTTCTTTAGGGCTAACACTGTTGCTGGTGAAACTATCAATGGTTATTGATTGGGAAAGTTCTGTAAAATCATATGGCAGAACATTTATATGAATAATGTTGCAGGGCTGTATAAGAAGTAGGTACGCTTTGTCCGATGAGTGAAGATACTTTGATATTTGGCTCTATGTTATAAGAAAGTTGGAAATCATGATATTTTGAAGCATAGGCTAAAGTGAGAAAACTTATGCTTCATTATATCTTTATTTTTTTTACTCTTTGGGGTATGTTTCTCTGCCAAATTCAGTTCTTCCATTAGAGAACTTGAGGAAAGGGAGAATTTGGATTGCAATCAGTGTTCAAGTTTTGGTTGATAATCAAATATAAAGCATAAGAGCTGAGGCAGAGTGAGGTTGGAGCCCAGTAAAGTGGAATGCAGATGTGTGGTGGAATGTTGCCTTTGGGGCACTGGGAGTTTTTGCTGTGGTTTTATGGTTTTTTGATATTTTTATCATTGTTTTGGGAGCCACTCATATTATGGTATGAAGACGGGCAGCCATATAAGTCTTACTTATAAATAAATAAATGATTATAAAGTACAGTACAAATTTATCTTAATGCTACCTGTCACTCCTCCTTGTCTCCCTACAATCCTCATTGTTTTTATTTTCTAGGAAAGTTTATAAGACCTGTTTGATGTACAGAACCATTCTTGGAAATAAAGTTAACAAAGGCTGGGACTTCACTGTATACCATGACAATTTCCCACTTTATTTTTTGTAGATTCAGATGAGACAGAGAGCTTGGGAAACACCAAGGGAAATATTTAGTCACATTGGTGCCCCTGGGCATATTGTTGGGGGTCCTAGCAATAGAAGATCCCAGGCTGGTTGGTCACAGTTTCTTCTTTTCTCTGCACTGCAAGGAGAGAGAAGAATAGTTTTGTCCTTAGGTACATTGACAAAAGCAAGCAAGAGGAAGAGAGATCACCTTTTTGGGTAGTTTTCTCCAACCTCCTTCCTTTATACTATCTAGTACTAAAAGTTATTTTTGAAAAGTATAGGACCAGAAAGTTAGTTCTACAATGTTAGCAGCTTGGTGGGTTTTCTCAGAAGCATCAGGTCTGAACAAGAGATGTGAAAGTCTCCTGTTACAGTTTCCTTTTATCTACTCTATATTAGATATACTATCACTCCAGCTGTTAATTTCAATCTTACACAAGCATTTCCCTTCTGGCTTCTTCCTTTTAGCTTCTCTTTATCTCGCACCCCTAGACCATTTCCCACAGTTCCTACCTTTCACAAGCTTTGAGTGAAAACCAGCAGTTTTCTTTCAAGATGAGTTGCTTGCAGATGCTACTTTCTCCTCATACAATATACCTTGCCTTCCACCAAGTACCTCCATGCTGTTAAATGCCAAGAGGGTGCATTGGCCACCATGACAACTGTGGGATCTGACCCAAGTTATTGAAGCCCCAACAGGTTGTCACACACAGATTTTTCTCTCAGGGCAGTTGCAACAGGATACAAAGTGGAGGACATTAACATCAGTCCAGGTTAAAACACTTTCTGGTTGCTTTTCAACATGCTGGTGCTGCCTCCACTTTCCTTGCAAGGATGTAGGACCTATTTAATTAGTTCGCCCCAGGTGACTAATGCTCCCAGTGGGTTTCAGAGGGAACTTGGGATTTTTCCTGAGGATCTAGTAGGCAGTTTGACTGAGGCCTTCATTTCCACCTGTAATGGGTGTGTGACGAGGGCCTTGGATTGGATAGTTCCTATGCAGCTTCTTCCCATTTGTTGATCCTGGGTATTTCCTTGGTTTTCCAAGGAACTTCAGGAGATGAAATTACAGAGGAAGTACCTAGAGTGTTGTTGGAGAAAGTTCAGCAAACCTGACCAAGCTCATGTAAAAGCCCATGTTAGGAATTAAATAGTGGCAGTAACAGGAGCAAGATGCGGGGGGGGGGTGTTGCCTTTATCATGGTTGCAGATAGCTGGCTGATGGCCCTGCTGGGTCACAAAAATATATATGGGGCCTCTGTGAGGAATACTCTAGCCATCTGATAACTCTCCAGCATTCCCTTTTGGAATAAGGTTATTGAGAAAGTGATTGGACTACAGTTCCTGAGGGCCCTGGAAGAAGTAGATTATACAGATCCATTTTAGTTGGGTTTCAAGCTGGGATATAATACAGAGGCAGCAGTGTTTGCACATGTTGATGATCCTTGGAGGGACCAGTATGTGGGTGGTGTGACCATCCTTGCTGTTCTTGATCTCTCAGCAGCTTTTAATGCCGTCAGTCATGTTATCTTTCTGGACTGGCTATGGGATTTGAGAGTATGTATGTTTTTGCTACATCAGCTACACTGGTTACCAGTGAGCTTCCAGGTACAATTTGGGGTACTGGTCATCACCTATAAGGGCCTTCATGGCACAGGGCTAGGTGACTCTTTCCTATAATTTCTTCCCACCCTATAAGATCTGATAGAGCAGACATGCTTTGTGTCCCTTCCATTAAGCACTGTCATCTGACGGAACCCAGGAATTACATTTTCTCTGTCATGGCACCTGTCCTTTGGAACAGCATCCTTCCATTAGTATGGGTTGTGCCAAGCCTGCAAGCCTTTAAACAATATCCAAAAATCTGTTTTTATTTTTTTTCCTATGCTCTAGGAATAGGGCAGGGTGTGCCCATTGGTTAGGATATGCCTGTTCCCCCTGTTATGTTTACTATTGGGTTTACTTTTTGTTTCTTTTTAGGTATTTTACTTGTTTTTCAGCTGTATGCCACCCAGAGTATGTATTCAGATGGGCAGGAGAGACATTCTTTCTCAGAACTATTGTAAGGATAACAGGAAGATTTAAAATGTATTGTAAATATTGTGATACAGTTATCAATAAACTAATGTTATTGGGGTTTTTTCAGGGTTTTGACCCACCACATCAGAGTGATAATCGAACTATTTATATTGCAAATCGTTTCCCCCAGCATGGCCATTATGTTCCGCAGAAGTTTGCAGAAAACAGAATAATCTCCTCTAAGGTATGGGAAATCTTAACACCTATACACATTTATTTATTTATATTTCAAATTTAGTCACCACCCATCTCACTCAG